AATACCACATTGCAGACTAGTAGAAGGCATTCCTTAGTCAAACCATTCATTGACTCTTCCTGGTTTCAGATTATACAAATTAATAATAATATTAGTCCCACAGGGAAATTGCTTGCTTAAAGAACCAGCAAAAATTTATTTCTTTTTATAGAAGTAAACTGAAAAATCTGCAGTGAAAATAAGCAGAAAAAAAAAAGGCTGAGCAAAATATTCTCTCATTTCAGTGTTTAATTGACAAGTGCAAACATAAGGCTCTCATTCTGCAAGATGTGTGTATCATTCCATGAAAATCAATTCACACGTGTAGGCAACAAGCAGTAAAAAGGCAGCGCTGAGTGCCAACATTGTGCTGTGAGTTTTAAACTAGCGAAGAAAAGAAAAAAAAGACTCAGCAGATAAAATACTGAATTTGGATCCCTTGTACTATTGTCGTGCTGCAGGCCCTGCTACTGCCTGATAGGAGTCCTTGTAAATCTTCTTCTGTGCATGACTTTTCCTCTCTACACAGAGCACAGTGGGACGGTCACATCCATTCCTGCTTTGGGCCAGCCCTCAGCACTGAAAGCTTGGCACAAGAGCTCTGCTGTTTGTATGCACAAATGGCTTTTCACCAGGTGAGCTATTTTGGTAAACACTCATAAATAAGGTGACTTACATTAATCTCTGCTAGACTAGTGCTAGTTTTAATTCATGTGGGAGTGGGAGATGTGCTTTCATATCCTCTATTTATTTTTAGTTGAGAGAAGATTAAACTGCCATAAGCAGCTTCAAGAGTCAGAGTAATTTGGGCAGGTCCTAAGGCATCTAGGACACAGGGAGTGGTTCCTAAGCTATGGAATGAGGACACAAACTATTTGCCCAATAGAAAAGCCATTCACCTACATCTTCAAAATGGACCTCATGTGGACCAGATGGGGTGCATAAGCTTCAGACACTGGTAGCTACAATGCTCTCCCAAAGAAATGGATTTTACAGGCTGAGTGTTACAGGCTGAGTCATCTAAAGTCAACCATTTCCAGATCATACATCAAGGTTGTTGAGCTATCAATGAATTACATGCATATTTCATATTTAACTTGCTGCCATCTTATAAACCACTCCCTTTGGATTTTTATCAGGAGGGAATAAATTAGGAAAATATTCATTTTTCCAGAGTAGACAAGTCTTGGAACTTCTCCCACAGCAAATTTCAAGGAACGTAGTACTCTTTTCAACACCTTACAATTTTTTTCAGTGTTGAAACGCTTAGCTTTTGGCAAGCTCAGCTCCTACTACCCTATGCAGAGATGTGAATTTCAGCATGATCTTAGCTCCAATATTTTTTCTGTTCTATTTTCCTTTTTTCACCTCAAATTTTGTTTCAGTTCAGAATAAATGCAGTTTTTAAAAATGTAATAATGTTGCAGTTTGAAGCAAACAAAAATGGGATAAATCTTCAAGCATAAAGGAAATTCTCACTGACATCTTAAAATGTCTGCTGCTTTGAATGCCCCACAGAAAACAGGAAATTCCACTTTGGCTCCACTACTGCAAGAAAACCACTTTGGCTTCCTGTTAGCAGAAAGCCATGTCTCATATAAGCGAAGTAAACTCAGGCCCTCACTTGGGTACAATTGGTTACAATTGGCTACTTTTGTATGACTAAACAAGCAAAAGAGTAAAAAAAAGGCCAAAGCCCAAAACCCAAAATCAGGAGTTCCTCCCATAAAAGTATGCTTTCATGGGTTCCTTTGCTATTTGAAAAATTTAAAAATACAGGTTTTCATATTAAATCTGTAATAGACATGTAAGCTTACAAGCTTACACAATAGGTGTAACACATCCATAATTTTTTCAAGTTAGAAATAATTTTAAATTCTGAATTTCCACTGAGTTTTAAATCAAATACCATGTTTTTTCTTCCCCTCCCTCCTTGGCTGTCTCACACCAGCCTTTTCTCTCAATATGATGGTATCCTCAAAAATTCAAATTATTTGCAAAAAAGAGAAGCAGCACATTATTTGTTCCTGTTTATTCCTGGTATCAGTTAGGGTCTAGTTAATTTCTGCTTCAGTAGCTGTTACAGTGCTGTGTTTTGGATTCAGAATGGGAATGGTATTGACAACACACTGGTGTTTTGGTTTTTGCTAAGCCATGTTTTATCCTAAGTCAAGGATATTTTTCCTTGTTTCGTGCTCTGCCAGTGAGGAAATGCACAAAAACCCAAACCAGCAGGGAGCATGGCTGGGACAGGGGACTCAAACTGACCAAAGGGATATTCCACATTGCAGAACATCATGGCAGGTAAATAAACCAGGGGCAGCTACCTGGGAGGAGGGCGTGATCTGGGTTTGGGAAGAAGGGTCTGGCAGGTCAGTGGGTGGTGAGCAATTGCATTGTACATCACTTGCTTGGGTTTCTTTCCTTTTTTAATCATTATTATTATTTACCATTACTGTTGTATTTTATTTTATTTTAAATTATTAAACCATTCTTGTCTCGGCCTACAATTTTTACTTCAATTCTGCTCCCCATTACACAGGGATAGGGAAGGAAAAGAGAGGAGGGGCTGAGCAAGCAACTGCATGGTGTTTCATCTCCAGCTGCACTTAAAACCATGTCAAGGTGAAACCCTAGTATTGATTGAATCATCAGAGCTAGATGTAAAAATATTCAAAATCCCCACATGGAATCCCTTCCATCATAGGAAAGGAAATGTGATCTCACCTCATTCTGGTATCTCATGAGATGTACATCACCAGAACAGAGAGATTTGATTTCCAGAAAAGCTGCAGAAACAGTTGAAATTAGGTATTTTTACCAGGAATTTCAAAATCTCCATTGCTGGACTTTCTGCACCAACTGGCTTTACTGACAGAAGAAAAATTGTGCATGTGCACGTATCCACACACATATACTTTCTCTCAAAAAAGTGTATAAAACATGTCCCTTGAGGCAGATGGTTAAAAACTTCTTGACATTCACACTAGGGATGCACAGCTCCCTATGCTGTGAGTCAATAGTGCAGGTCTTCCAAATCCAGACCAAGAAATACCAGTTACTCCAAGCATCAATGAGCAGAGCACAGACTTGTCCAAATTTGTCCTGTTGAGGCAGCTCCCCGCTGTAGCTGTCAGCTTGTGCGTAATTCTGTCTCTGATTATAGCTTTCATGCTGCTGGGCAGCCCCTTGTGATAAACCCAGGCAAAAACTGTCACAGTAATTAGCAATGCCAGAAAATTAATCCTGTTTCACTGCAATTTTCACTTTGCATTTTCCACGCTTTGCATTATTTTGAGTCTAAGTAGCAGCTGAAGGGAGTGGAGTTAGACTTCCTGCAGTCTAAAACCCATAAATTTGCTTTCCTGAACAAAGAAATTTGTTAAAGTTATAACTGGGATTGAAGTAACCCCATTCAAGAATTTTCTGTTCTTTTCTAAGCGGTGATGGTGCCCATGCTTAGTAGGTCTCCAAAACCTCAATAGTTCAACAATAAGTATCTACTGACCATCTAAAAGAGAGTAATTTAAAAGCAATTTCAGGCTATGTAATCTGTCAAAACCAACAGTGCAGTTTGGGCAGTCCAAGGGCATCTCTTTTTCTCTAGATTTGGGAAAGCTGTTTTGTCTATGTTTACACAAGTGCAGTGTGAAAAGAGCCAACACAGCATGTACAGGCCACATAGGTTTTTCTTTGTATCCAGCAAATCTACTTCAGCAAATGGAGTTGACTCAGACTTTGCTCAGAACTGCAAGGCACTGACTCGTCTGGCCCAGCTCAACAGGCCACTTAAGCATGTGCTTCTTTTCAGCATCTGGGTGAAGATGATTTTGAAGGAAAACAGTGTTTACGTGCTTTCTTTTGTGAAAAACTCACATGTGTGATAGAACATGCAATTTGTCCTCCAATATTTATCCGTTACTTAGCACCAGGTAGTTAAAAATTAAATGGCTAGCAGATTAATCCCTACACTCCTAATTTTCAGGGTGCTCTCAGCAGATAAGTGACAGCATTTCAATGGGAGTGGTGGAAGAATTATTAAAAAAACCCAAAAACACAAAAAGAAGCACAAAAAAGCAACCTAAAACTGGACTCCATTTTTAGGATGCAATTACTCCAAACCAAATTGCACCAGGTATTTAGCTTGCTTAACTTCTAGTTAGAATTAGTGAAGTGATGAAGTCACCATTCATATGATGATTTCCTGAAAAAATAGCTTTTTAACCATCCAGGGTTTTGTGTCTGCTTCCCCATTTAGTAATTTTCATATATTTCCTTGCCTCTGTTTTAAAAGAAAAACTGCTGAGTATTAAAAATGCAATATCGACACTCAAACAAATCACTACACAGGTGAAAAAGACTTCATGTGTTCCCACTAACACCATTATCTTTTGTTTTGTCTATCAAGCTATGATAAAACATAAAAAGTATAAAGAGAGGTGAATATGGCTGCATCTCTATAGTGTATTTTGCTTTAAAAGATAAACTGTATTGAAAACTAATGACAAAGAATATCTTAATGAAATAGCAACAGAAGTGCAGATTGTCACAGTTCCTGTAGTGACATTAATTTGGGAATGGTGGACTAATCCTTGCTTTTCAAAATTCAGCACTCTGCAAAATTCCTTATACTGCAGAAGAGAGGAAGGCAAAAGCCCAAAACCTTGTATGAGGATAATGAAGCCAAAAAGTCATGATCCTGTAGCAAAACCTCTTATTTTTTCCCCCAAAGGGAAGTCTTGAAACTCTCTAGAAAAATTCTTTCAGGCCCTAAGTTGTACAGATTTTCTTCATCTAAAACTCAAAGCTAGAAAAGCAAAAGAAACAGTCACAGCATATGCCTCAGGGTAGTCTCAGCTGCAGAGCCATTACTGTGATCTATAATGGAACAAAAAAAAAGAGGCATTTCAAGTCAATCTGTAAGCACTCACAGCTGGGTGGGCTTGGTCCACATGTGCCTATTTATATTAGGAAATTCAGCATATATAAATATATAAATAAAACATCTATACAGTACATAGTCACATTCATATAAGTCATAAAATTACATATATTTACAAAAATATTTGCAGCTTTGTTTTACACTGCCAGGTCCACATTAGGAGTTGAGTCATTTAGCTTCTGGCTTGTGAATATGATCACCTTCCTTAAGTTGGACTCTGGGATGAACTTGTACCTTATATACTTTCAGTTGTCAAAAAAAGATAGAAGAACATAATTCTTCCAAAGAATTCTTCCAAGTCCATAAGAAAAGTTGAATCTTGTCTCACTGAAGAGTAAATTACATGTTAGCAAAAACTTAGAGACCTCTTCTTCTTGTAGAAAGACAGTACCTTCTTGGTCTGGACCATAAATAAATTTGAAACTCATAAAACATCAGGCAGAGCCAAAACTGGGTGCCTGGCAGCTGTCAATAGTATCAACTCATGAGTAATTACTCTTCCATTTGTCTCCTTTAAACTGGTTGAGTGGTGAAAATAAATGGGTACAGACATGAAAGCTAATACATTGGGTTACCGTAGAGGGTAAAAAGGTAGAGTAGGCTACATCCTGTTGGGATCAGTTTAGCTTCAATTCAAGGTAAGGTGTATAGTTAAAACAATCCCAAGGATCTCATATTTATACAGTACATATTACATAGTTCTGTGTCCTCCAGAAGCTGGACACTTGTAATTTTCTTCTCCAAAAACTGAAAAACGTTTCTTTGCTGCTTTGTTAAATAGTCTTCTTACGTATGCAGGCCACATTCAGGCGTGATTTTTGGGCAACTTGGGCAAGTTTGGGGAGCTTGCCCATTTGACATTAAATGAGCTCTGCAAGAGCATTTAAAACTTTGGAGACTGGGTTGTTTTCCTTTTAAGCATGCTTGCGAAAAACAAACCTCAAGATACAGCAGCTTAAATCGCTTGTACGTGAAGACCCGTGCAGAAAAATCTTGCCATGTGCCATTGATCAAATAGCACTTTCAGTGACTGGCTGTGGAGCCATTTCTTGCTCTTCACTATTCTCTGCGGACGTGTCCTGGACCTCCTGCTGCTGATAAATATCTTGGACCAGCATGATGTTTGTGCTCCTCCACTCTCTGTACTTCACTGCTGTCAACTGTGGGTCCTCTAGCAACTGGTTAATTGTGGCCAGGTCATGTTCCTTACACTAGGAAGAGAACAAGTGGTTATTTCCACAGAAAATGTCAAGACAATTGTCCCTAACAAAAACACTCTGGGAATGTTAGACTCATGTCACAAGGAGATGGCAAATTACCCATTCTCCTGGCAGCTTGTTCCCATTTTTAGAGTGTAGGTCATCAAAGTTATGTCTACAGTAAAAAGTCTTCCCAGTTAAAGGCAAGTTATGATTGCATCTAGATTTTTTATAGGCTTTTTAACAAAACTTGATGAGAGAAGATTCATGTGAAAATTGCACATTGTTACTCTCTCTCTCAACAAGACAGTACTTGCATGAAACGAGACACAACAGCATTTATTTCTGTAATTCACAGCAGTTCTAACTTTCTCAAAAACACTTAATCCATATAATAAACGTCTCTTCTCTGGGAGCTGGACTGACCATAATTTTGGATATAATTTGTGCACTGGCAGTAGAGTGGCTACAGTACCTGTGTCTGCCATCTACCACCAGCTACTGCCAATAAATCTGGTATCTACTTTGGCAAGAGCAGCTCAGACCATGTATTGCAAGCACCCTGATTCACTTGTAAGGTGCAGGCAGTGACTGATGCAGGGACATTGAGACTGTGTATGTCACAGAACTACAGAATGGTTGAGCTTGGAAGGGACCTCTGGGAGTCATTTGGTCCAAAACCCTTCCTCAAACAGAGCCACCTACTGCAGGCTGCCTAGGACTGTGTGCACATGACTCTTGAGTATCTCCAAAGATGGAGACTCAACAGCTTCCCTGGACAATCTGTGCTTGGTCTCCTTCACAGCATTTCTTGCTACCCAGGGGAAACCTGTGTTTCAGTTTGAACCCTCACTTCTTGTCCTGTCACTGGGCACCACTAAAAATAGCCTGGCTCTGTCTTCATTGCACCCTCCTTTCACACACTGATGTTCTTTGATGTCCTCATGTTGTAGCATAACAAACCACTTCACTTTTCCAGCCCATATTGCCTATCCAGGGACCATAGGATAGAGAAGCCCCAGTGAGCAGGTATAATGTCACTATACGACACAAAACAACACAAGTACGCACACTGCTGCTCTCAAGGTGAAGAAAAGCGAAATTTATTATCTGACTTTAATATTTATAGTTTTCTAAAAATGACAGTGGATTGGAGGATAAAAGTGCTACCTCTCCAATGACACTGGACAATCTATCAAATTTCTCTTCCTCCATAAAAGAATGCAAAACAATGAGTTATTTACAGAAAGTGTGTGAGAAAGTTCATTACAAGAATGTAAACATCAGAAGGCTTAGAAAATCTTAAAAAATCAGGGTGACAGTATAATTTATTAACGGAGGCACCATGCTGCACTAACAAAACTTGGCTATTTCTGCTGGGCTCCCTCGCTCCAGTCTGTGTGTGAAAGCAATGGAATAGTTCTAACCATCTTCTCCTGCTACCACCCATTCATCATACCCAAGAACACCCTGTGTTGGTGGCTGCCTTGAAAACACCTTGAAAGTACTCCCACACACTCATTTCACCTTCTGATAGCAGCCATCAGCTGTTTCTATATCCATATCCCACTAATTATCTAATGAACCTTCAACTGCACCAATTCCTGTCATGCCTTAGCTGCTTTTTAAACCCAAAAGCTCTTTCAAGTGTATTTTACACGTCCTACCCTCAAGACCCAGTGACAGCCCTTTTAAGAAGACTTCTGGTACTGATGCAGGGATATGTGCAGTTAGTTTAAGAGAAGAAGAGAGGAGACAGGGAGGTGGAAGGAAGAGGAGTATTTCTATTGGACAAACTTGGCAGCAAAAATCATGCCATGGAGTTTCTCCTGTAACACTAAAACTATCTCCCACATTCACTAAGACTGTGATGCATTTGCACATAGCTTCCCTCTCTTACAAAGTATTCAAAGCATGTTTTGTTAATGATATATTTTGGCAGCAACATTAATCTGTTGTTAAATATGTGGAGTCAAAAGTCTAAAATTAAAATTGCATTGAGACTTGCATAAATCACTTCTCGAACTAATAGGGTTTTAATTAAAGCAGAGTACATATGGATCTAAAAAATCCTGATTTTTAAATTTCCAGTAGATAATTTCCAATTATCTTATGTCTTATATTATACATTAAGAAAATTGACTTTAAAGGCACATAATTTCACTGATGTAATTAATATGGCACTTTCCCACTGCAGGCACTTGACTTTCAGACAGGCTAACTTAAATACCGCTGTGTAGAGAACTCTATTTGTGTCTATGGGAAAGTGTCTGTGCTTTTTTATTTGTCTTGTCAATACTTCAATACTTAGTTTGAAGAAAAAAAAAAACAAAAAAAAACCCAAAAAAAACCCCAAAAAACAAAAACCCAAAGAGATCAACACATTTTATATGTTATAAATACTCCAAAACTTATTTTTCCATATTAAATACAAGTGTTAGACAAGCCTAAGTTAATCACAACTTATATAATACTCCCATGCTAAATCAATGCACCATTGTCCTCCTTGCTCATGTCTGGCAATGAGGCTTCCATTCAGCTCCATGTTAATGAAAGTGACTGTCCCACAAAATACAACTCCACTTTGCGCCAACTGGTTCTTAGATTTATTAGTGAGGGTCCTGTCAGGGAAAACTTTTTGGAATGTTTCTCCATGTATCTTCCTATCCTAGGAAGTAGACATACTTTTTAAACCAACTTTCTGCTATGTGGGGGGCTCACTTTACTGCTGATGCAAATGAATACTTCTGTAGTCACTGCCACATCTCTGAAAACTCTTTGATACTAAGGAGAGACTTCACCAGGTCTCATACAGAGCCAAGAAGTATGCCTCTCTTCCCAATTCCTTTTACTTTTCAGGAATTTCAATACGGGCTAAGGTGCCAAACCCAAGTCTTCCATTGCAACTAATAATCAAACCAATGATTGTGCTGGCAGGATAAGTTTTTAGAATCATAGAACTGCTAAGGTTGGAAAAGATCTCTAAGATCATCAAGTCCAACCATTTTACATGCATTTCTCCAGCTTACAGTGCCTGAAGCCAAATACATCCATTTGAAACAAGATACTCAATTCCTGCTTCTAATGCATACGAAAAGAAACAAGTGAAGCCCCAAGTCTACATTTATTCTGTCTTCTCCTTACAATATAAATGCTATGGTTAAGCTTTTTGTTTCCCTCAGTACCACTCAGAAGCAGGCTTTGAAATCCCATGACACTTGATGCTGGCAAGTAAACTGCTTCATAAATTCCCACATTCCAGACAGATTTACCAGCCCTTTCATGGAACGTCTCCTGAACCCCTGTACCCCTCCAGTTCGTGATATATTTCCAACATAAAAGCAGGATGCTTTCGTTATTAGAAATATTTTAGTTACAGGAGGTCTTTACAATAGCTTTGGCACATCCTGTACATTCTCTGATAATCACATAAGGAAAACTTTTTTTGGCTCAGGGTCATTTTCGTGTCCTTTATCATCAATGTACTTTGTCTGCTCTTCCTTTTTTAAGGCTCCCCTGTTTAGTGCATTTAGCTGAGCTAGCAAGTTTTCCAGTTAACTAAGAGTTTTCTTTATTAAATTTTCCAAATGGGCTGGAACTTCTGTAAGAGGAGTCCCTCCTGAGCTATTGCCTCTGCTTCCAGTTCAAGCTGAACAACATAACGCAGATCAGTGTTCACAATGAAGCATAAAAAAAGAATTCAAAAACTTAACAAAATTCTCTGGGGCTTACAGTAAATACATAATTACAGTTTGGCTGAAGTCTGTACTGCTTCTTTTTCAGCCAAACTGGTTTTTTCTCTCAAGCTTTTCCTTGGCAAGATCTGCAAACTCACCTTTAATGTACTGTTCAGCATTCGAATTTTGTGGAGTTTCTCATTAATGGAGGGGTTTTTGCTGCGCTTGATAAATGACTTCCTAAGCTCCTTCTTAGTTGACAGTCGACGATCACCAATGGGAGACAGGCTTGCTTGCTCCAATGACTTGTAAAGTCGCTCCATCTCATCATCATCATCACACTTTTCCTGGTCTGCAAAGAAAAGAATAAATTGGGTATGAGAACGTGAAAGTATGAGCAGATAACAGAAAAGTTATGTTCAGCTATTAGGAGGGCTCTTAACCAACTCAAAAAATAATTGTATTAGAGTTAAAACTAAGGACAATTAGGGTAATTTCTAGGGTAATGATGCCTATGAAAAAGACATACTTCCAAACTCACATGTTGTTAAGAATCAGGTAATGATCCAAACAGATGTGAGCTTGTATGTCCACTAACAAGAGTGTTCCTTTAATGCTCTGAATATATCACAGATTTTGAACAACTGTCAGTAGCCCTATGTTTGAATGAAACTCTGATAGCATCTACACCCATTCATCCCACCCTGCATGCTACACACAGCGAATTATACTTCTACCTGACAACTCTCAGGGTAAATTCTCTTTGGTGTGCTGATTCATCACCAGGTTTTGGTAATTATTGAAAACAGAGTTTCAAAAAAATGAGCAATTAAAAGAAACATAGAAACATTTCAGGGTCTCCAAGAGAAGGTCCCTAGAAAACAGATTAAAGCAAGAACCCTTGGGGAATCCAATATCTTGCCCCTGAGTCTCACAGATTGCAGCGGAGAATTTGCTTATAAAGCCTCACAACAAAGTCTTGATTATCTCCACCTTAATTATTCTGTTGGCTCCCAAGCTGCAGGACCATCTTCCAAGACAGAGAGTACACAAAAGGAAAAGCAAGTAAACAGCTGAGAATAGCATAAAATAAGATGAAAATTTAAGCAAATGCATTTCTCAGAATAAAACAACTTAAAAATGAACAGACGGAAATGAAAAAATGTTCCGGGCATATGTAGGGGCGCTTTAGCAGAAGGACATTTTTAGCAACAGACTGCGCAACTCACTTCTTGTCCTTTAGTCCAAACAACTTCAGTGATCTCTAAAGGAAAATCTTACAGCTATTGCTGTTTTCAGGGTGCTAATGAATCCCTCAAGATCCCCTTTGGATAGCACTTGGTTTTATGTCACTGGGGGTAGTGGTGTTGGTTCTTCTCAACTGCAGTCCTTCCTATTCCCATTGAACTGGCTGTGCACTTTTTTTTTTAAAGTTAAACATTTACTTTTCTAAATCATCTGCAGTCAGAAAATATATTCACAACAAAAGGAAAAAGTCCTTCTGCTCAGTCATGCTGCTGCGAAAAGAATTCTGCAATATGTCAGCATGCTAAGGAGGCTGCTTCTTATCTTTTCCATGTTTTATAAAGTACAGCATCCTCCTACATCTCTGTTCTTTCCAAATATTTAGGTTACAAGAAAGGTTTATGATATGCTGCAAATATTTGCCTTCACTGTGTTTCTGGCCTATTCTTCACTACTGTGTGATTATAAAAAGCCTACTGTAACTTGACTAAAACTAAATATAACTTCCAACATTGGTACATTGCTGGGGGAGGAAAAGGAGAACTGTTGTATATTTAACAAGCTGCAGGAAACAGAAAAAAAAAAACAGGAGTGTAAGGCATAATACACGGCAATAGTATTTCCTGAAAGCTGTTGGCACATGCCATGAGGCTTGCAATAACTAGTTTCCTGTCTGCTTTCTTGGGATGAAGCAGCTGTTTGTTTCATTAGCCAGCTTCTGCACAGGACTGGCTCAACTCTGCTGTAGACATCACCCATCAGGACTGTGCACAGTAATACTTTGAGAGATAAATTGATTTTTATCAGCTATCCAAGAAAGACTGTGTAAGAAGGGAAACAATTTATTTCAATCCTGTTCAGCAGCTCTTAAATAAAGTCAACCCACAGGGGACTTAAGGTCCCTGCTCCAGACACCTTTTGAGGCTAACTCATGAACTTCCTCAGTATCCTAAGAGGGTTACAAAGTAGCAAACCCGAGAAAACACCGTAACTGAACACTCTTCTTTCATGCTAAATAATCTGATATCTTCCATGCATTTGTGGGAAACTGTAAGGAGTACAGTAACATTCAGCACAGGAAAAGATAGAGCCAAAGTGAGAAAAGCACAGGAGAAGTCTTGCACATGATGCACTTGCCCAGAAAAGTGTACTCAGCTCCTGCAGACTTTCAAGACTTCTACCTGAAACTCACTTCCTATTTGTTATTCTTCCACCATTCCCATCCTCCAAGGGATCAGGGTCAGGTAATTTCAAAGGGAAAGGAACGTGGCAGATTCTTCATATCAGGTGGATAAAGGACTAAATGGAATTTCAGCAAACTGCTTGAAAACAAAGGTGAGTGGCACTTACAGGTTGTGTAGAACCTGGTATGAGTTACACAGCACTTTTGTCACCATCTTTGATTAATTTCAACTACTGTTATAAAATAAGAGAGTATCCTAATATTGTGGATTTGTGTAGAACACTGTTGCTGTTGACAAATGATATGTCTGCCAACAAACCTCTATAAACTGAGGCCAGACTATCTGTTACCTATCTGGAATTTTACCTTCAGCATCCTGAGTACCCCTGAGCCAAGCTCAGAAAGGAAAAGCCCACATTTTGCAGGCTTGAAGCTGCCATTGAATGCATTAGATTGATGCTGTAAATTTGAAAGGGAGGGAGGTAATAGAGGAACTGATTTAGGGGAACTAAAACACAGTTCTGAGGCTTGATGCCATTTATCTGGAATTTCCTCCTAACAGGAGGTATCACATACAAGAACAACTTCCCAGAGGCTCAACATGCCTATTCTTCACCTCCTCGATTTTCAGCTTCAGCTCTCCTGTCAGCCAACTTGCCAGAGGCTGGAGACATTAAGATTTTGAGACTCCCCATCTTGGAGCATCAGTACAGGAGCCTGTCTGAAATCTCAACTTTAATGCTCTTTAGGTCTCCATAAGTGAAATTATCCAGAACTTTCAAAAAGCAGCTGTGAAAAATAATGTTGATCGTTTCCCAGTAGTAAAGATCAAGAAATAGGAAATGTTTGGCAAAAAGAGCATTTTGCATTGAAAACCACCTCCAACAGAATGTATCTGACTAAATTTATCTGAAATGTAAATATTTGTTCTCCCATTCTGTAACTGAGATCTCACAGACCCCCAGTTGTGTATTAATTCCAGGGGAAAAAAATCTCTGCTTCTTCCTCCTGTTCTTGCTACTCTTATGAGCATCTTGTAGCTTTGCCAGCACCTCTGTTTCTGATTCTACTAGAATTTTTTATGCCAGTCGAGAGAACACATAAACCCAAAGCTGAAAAGAGCAGAGGGGAAAAAAGTCACTGATGATTTTGCCCTTACCTACCTATCCACCCCCTAGCCCTTCTCCACAGTAGTACTAGACTTTTCAATGGTAATATGAAGTCACCTCAGGGAAATCCCATTTCCCACATAATTATGGAACAGAAAATACAGAAGAAATTTCAATTAGGTGAGCATAACTTAAGCAAACTCCTCACTGGCAAATGCAGAACTAAGGGAGGAAAGATTGGAAGAAAATAAGAGGAAAACTATGTTACCACAATTAGATGCTGTTGTCTGACAGTATAGTGGACTTAATAGTGAGGGGTGGAACTTTAATAAACTGAACTGGAAACAACATAAATAAGTATCTCTTTTTCAGAGGGTTCAGAAAACCATAGCACCATAGTTTTCACTGTGATTTCTAAAGCTTTTTTGATGAGAAAGAAAATAATAATTCAAGTTGTTTCTCTACATAGCTGTTCTCACCATAAGCACATTTCTTGTCTAGTCTCAGCCATGATCCAGCTATTTTCTATAACTTTTGCAGAAGGAAAAAGGGGCCAGAGCACACCAGAGGATCTGTTCTGACTATTACTGGCACAGGCAGACTCCAGAGAGGAAGAGGATGTCAGTCATGAGAACAGAAGGAATTGAATGAATCCAGCTCCTATTTAACCAACTCCTTCCCATACAACCAACCCAGATAAAATCCAAGAGGTATTTGAAAAGCTGTCCAGGTTTGAAAATATCAGCACACACCAGATCTTCCACAGCTACTGTGAGCTAAGGTAAAATAAACCAGAAGTGGTAAAATAGGAATGCCTTGCCAAGGTACATTAACTTCATACGATCATGAAAGCCTCAGAAAATGCAGGGAAGAAGGATCTTACTGCTATAGTAGTAGATCCCTAAATAAATAGGGATTTTCCTATTTTCTTATTCCTATTTTCTTATATGACCTCTTAGTTCCTGTGGCTTCCTTTAGCTGTTGTGGTTTTTGATCATAATGGGTCACACACTTTTTCTTCCAGTGGTTGCCAGAAGAAATACACAGGATGAAGAATGTGTCTAGCCATCCTGGAGAGGCCAAGGCCAGCTCCTGGATACAGTGCACGTAGTCAGACAGCTGCTTGTATTCTCAGCTGTTTCTTGTTTACCTTTCAGTTGCTTTGCATCACAGGCAGCTTAGAATCCTTTGTCACTCTGCATGTAGCAAGCTGCATCACCAAAGTCTTAAATATTTCCAAAAAGTAAATGGATGCATAATGTTGGTCTCCTTTCAAAAGAGAAAACTGATAAACTCCCCTTCGTTGTTCCACTCTCTGGTGTGTAACATCTCCCCAGCAACTGGTGCAGAGAATAAATGCTGACAATGTTCATAATGCCACTAAGAGTGGTTGGAAAGATTGTTTAAAATATCAAATGTGGCTCCTTGCACCAGACACTCACAGTTGCTTAGCAGAGTTCATTAAATAATTTCTGTAGAAAAAATAATCCATCATCATTTAGGTTGAATCTGTAGCTTTTCTTATGGAGATTCATTCATTTATTTCTGGAAAATGTTTCTTCCATTGTTTAACTCATCACTAAGCTTTCTTCACTGTTTTTGTACTTTTTCATGATAAGCTCTTCCCACAAAATGACAGCTACTCTTTCTTCCTTTTAGGTATTAACTTTTCTCACATTGGTCTCCATTTCTAGACTTTGCCCAGCAAAAGTGCTCTTCACTTCTAGAAAATTTTTACCTCAACTCTAGGCTCTTATCAGCTACAACCAAAAATTCAACTTGTGGCTTTACCTTGAAGAATGTGGCCAGAAAACAGTGTGGCAGGGTGTTTTTATCCTCACCAGGAGAAAGAGAGAGACACATCAGTAGGTTCTGTGGGGGACTGGGATCAAAGACTATCTAAGAATATAGCTGTGCTGATGATATCAGGGCCATCTTTACACACAGGGAATATGTGCTTTCAGGACAAATGTGGACAAAAGACAAACTTGTCTCCTCCTGCATGCAGTCTCATGACTCTGAAACATGTCAGAAACAGACTATTCAGAAGCACTGTAAAGCAAATAATGCCCACTGCACTGAGGTATGCCTTCTTGTTTTGCATCAGATAACAAGGGTGTTCTTACCATTATTGCAAATCAGGAGAATTTGCAGCTAGATTTTACCCAACAACTTGAATTCATCTCACAGTATTTATGCATGTGCTTATCAACTAGCTGGAGAGGGAAATTATTGGGGGATGAGCCACAGACCCAGAATTGCATCCTTTTTGATAACATTCATTTGGAACTGAAATGTTATTCTACATTAATCCTTCTTTTCTTACTTCATGCTCAAATTGAAGTTGCTTTATCTCCTTGCAAAATATTTCCTTAATGTTTTCAGTGACCATTGCAGGGAAGGGGCCCCCACAGCAGCACTCTCCACACCCAGCCAATAGTCTGCAGACTGATAAAGGAAAGACAGACCTGTGTCTGGTGCACGTTTGCTTGGTCAGCAATGGGTTGTGACACAGACAAGAACTAGTGAGGTGATAGAGTTTCCATAGTGACTGTCTTGGTGCAATGATCTATATCTGGAATTCTGTCAGTGATCACCACTGTGGTTTGGGTGGAAGTGTTCTGTGCTCTGCCATCAGGGCTGCCCATCAGCTAAGCAGTGAGCAACAGAAGAATTCATTTCCCCAGGAATAATCTTACCAAAATTAAACCATCTTGCACACTGCAGGAACATACCAAAATATGCCTTGATTTACATTTTAATCCCATTTAAGTGGTTGGTATGATTGAGCCTATTATCAAACTATACTTTAAGTAGTGATTATGAATGTGTCATGCACATTCTCTGACATCCATAAAAGTATTTGTCACCCTTACATTACAATGGAAAACAATAACCTACACATTATTGCAGGATTTCTGACAATATCAGAGGAATACATTCTAAGCAAAAGTTTAGATTTCTGAAGAGCAACCACTGAAGCTTTGTCAACAGGATCTATAAGCCACTATGCCATTTATGACCTACATTCCAACAATCCACTTAAATATCCCTGATGTTTTCCAAAGACATTACTTTATCAAATTTAACTCAGAAGGTAAAATTATAGAAAACAATATATTTAATATGTCTGTGATTTTTTCATTAGGGATTCCATTTCTGCCAGCTCCAGCCTTTCACAACTTACAAAGCCAGAATTAGGGGAATTAGATTCCACAGTAACTCAAAGCACTGTTTTCCAATACATAGAAACAGCACATATGCTCACTCTGGATTTTAATTCTTTCTGCTCTTCATTGCTGCAGAATTTTCTAGCAGAGAAGCCTACAAAATGGATAAGGTAGGTGAGCATAAAACACTGAGTAAATTTTTACTTTTGATGAAAACTTTACTTTTCTTAATGTCCTTTTCTTTTCTATTTTTTGGTGTAAAATCAGGAAAGGTATGACTACACAAAGGGGTGCCAGCTTTCTAAGTGTGGATATTTGTAAAACATAGAGGCACTGACTGACAAGGTAACTAATGTGCCTCATCGTATCATCTTTCAGTATCAAGTTCACCTACAGTGAAATGCCCTGATTTCCCAACAACTCCAGTGTTGTTTCTTTCCACCACTGCATTACTTTCAGCCTAAGCTCTTAGATGCACCTTTCTTTTGCACTGTGCTGAGACAACCCTTCTCTTTCAGCAACCAAGAAGCCACTTCAAATCTTTACAAGGATTTGGAATCATGGGAGGAGCTGAGGCACAGGAATGTTGTTGTTCCCTTATGTATTACCCCTCTACTCAGAACTGTACGCCAGGAACAGCTCTTAGGCTTCGACTGCTTTTAATTCAGAAAGAAGCTTTGCTCAGAAGGCAGGAGATATTTCCTCGCTACACAGGAGAGTTACGAACAGTAACAATAACCAAATTCTGGAACCATGCCACCTTTTTCAATTAGCAGTACATTTCAGTAGGAGGATACTGTGCATACACCTATTTGCTTAAACAAAATCCAGCCTTAATAGACTTTCTGATTCAGGATTTCAATTGTTTTCTCTTGATTACAATGAAGCTTAATGTAGCAAATAGAGAGTATGTACTTTGAGCAAATGCAACAGCACAGATTTGTGAAATTGGACTGACTTAACCCTATGTTCACGAATCCCTACATATTACAGTTTTGTTACAGTGTCCATTCTGTGACACACTTTGTTAACATTTTTATTCAATCCTAACTAATAAAAGATATAAAGATATAAACACTCAAATAAAGGATGTTAATAAAATTAGGTCTTTGCTAAATTTGTACACAGAGGTTACGGTCTAACATATAGATAAAATTTGAGAAAAGTTGTAAAGGTACCTACAAACCAGATACCCGGTTATATATTTAATGTGCAATAATTTAAATGTTATAAATGATGTGCCACTGGAAAACTCTTCAGTGAAGAATATAGAGGAAGGAAGGGGGACTGTTAATAAAATTATGTCTATTCTAAATTTATACACAGAGGTTATGGTCTAACATATAGATACAATTTGAGAAAAGTCGCAAAGGTACCTACAAACCAGATACTAGGTTATATATTTAATGTGCAATAGTTTAAATGTTATAAATGATGTGCCACTGGAAAACTCTTCAGTGAGGAATATAGAGGAAGGAAGAGGGAAGGAAGTTAAGGAAACCTGGAACTCTTCTATTGTATGGCTCTGCAGCAAAAATCTCCTCTCTCATTAGCTCACCTCTGGCTGGTGATCGCTGTCCTGCTGCATCTGGCACAGCTAGACAATGTGTATCTGCACTTAAGTAAGAGGTTTGGGATCCACCATTGGGTTGGGAAAGCTGGACTTCTTGGCTTTCTGCTGCATCTCCACAGACCACTTGTGGTGCCTCGTCAGAATGGATCTGTATGCAGAATGTTAAAGGCTGATCACCCTCTTCCGTGGCAGAGCCGCTCACCAGGTCAAGCCAGGACTGCCTCTCAGAATAAACCACTTTGGATGTCAAGGAAGACGATGATTCTTGGGAATTGAAAGTGCTTTCAGGAGAGGAGAGAGAGCAAGATGCTTCACTTGACAGAGTTGAGGTGAATGATGACTTTTGCTGATCCTGCTTTCCAGAAACAAAAGAAAAAAAGAGAAAAAAGAAAAAATATTTACAAATTACTCCTCTTTCTAGGTTCTACATGATGTATAGATATGCAATTGAAATGCTGAATGACCAAAAATTGATGTACTGGTTACTTATTCATCCAAACAAACCAGTGGTGTGGCAATCAATCCCCTACAGAGCAGTAACTTCAGAAACCAAGCCATCAGGAAGCCAAAGGCAAAAGAGGTATGAACCTGACAATGCCTAGAAACAAAGACCAAGGAAAACTATTACTGAATGCAGCCTTCTGTGGTAGGTCTCACACTCACCTTCTTTCTTTAATTTGTCTTCACTTTATTGGCCTAATCAAGAGTGAAGAAGAAAAACTCCAAATTAGCCATTGAACATGAAGCACTCAACAGTTCCACCAATGCAATAACCAGGGATAGACAGAAGGGGTCCCGAGCACTGAAGTACAGTAAAGTATTTTTCCTAGTCCATTCAAGGGGTAATCATTCACCAGAGCAAGAAGGCTTAGCAGAAACTATCAGAAATTGTGATGAGATCATCATGATATGAAAGCCAGATTTGCTACTGCAGAAATTTACTCCTTCTGCATATCATCTCCTACTGGCCAATGCCAGCATTGGAATACCAGACTTGATGGACCACAAGTTTCTGTCCTCAATATTTATGTAAAACAGATCTGTGTAAGGATTAAAACAGATGATAACTAGACTGAAAATATTGAAACTTACTGAGAAGGTGTTGCTACGGAAACCTGGAAAAGCTGAAAACACAGTGAAGGGACTAGCCTGGAATACCTATTTATAAAGTAAACCAGAAATAAGTTTTATTCAAATAAACCAAGCCAAGAGTAACAATTTTTTTATTATGATTTTTAAACTCTGCAATTCTGTGTTGTATACTGTAATGTATACTACTTCCTTCTCATATTAAAACCAGCAAAGCCTTCCTGTGCTTCTAATACAGCTGCATCATGTAACAAGGAGCCAATTCAGAGGATGAGGAGGACCTATATCAGACTGTGGGCGCTATTTGTTTATAGCAGCTTCTTCACTTTTGTAAATTTTTGAAGCCATTCATAATATCATAGAATTGTCAAGGTTGGAAGAGACTCTCAAGTTCATCCAGTCCAGCCAAGCACCCAGCACTTCCACTGCAACCCCTAAACCACATCATCCAGCACTGGATTTGGATCCCTCTTGAACACTTCCAGGGATGGTGACTTCACCACCTGCCTGGGTAACCTATTCCAATCCCTGACCAACCTAATGGTGAAAAATATTTGTCTTATAGCTAACCTGAATCTGCCCTGTCCCGACTTAAGGCCACTTCCTCCAGTGCTGTCACTGTAGGCATGGCCCCCACCTGGCTACAACCTCCCTTCAGGGAATTGTAGAGGGCAATGAGGACTCCCCCTCTTCTTGAGACTGAACAAACCCAGCTCCCTCAGCCATTCCTCATAAGGCATGTTTTCTGATCCTTTCATGATTCCTATAGGACCATGCCAAACACTGCAGGACCCAGACATTTATATTCCCCTGTGAAAAGCACAACACTGTGTTTCAGGTGTGTTTTTGTTTCTAAAATAGAAACCTTCACATATGCATCCTCAAGCAAAGGATGAGGAGATGCTGTATTAAACTAGGAGTACTAAAAATGCCCTTGGGAACACAGGTGATACGAAGCATTTCATCTAAGAGCTCCTACCACAAAGACAAATTGTTGAAGCATTTATAAAGTCAAGCAGAGCAACCCAACAGTAAGAGCTCTTGCCCACATGTTGCAGATGGTCTAATTTCAGTTGTTCAAAGCTGGAAAAGGAAGATATTAGATCTCACCTCTATTTTTCTGGCATTTGTCTATACAAAAAAGGAAAAACTGTTATTGAAAATGAAGGCTGTGCCTCACTGAGGGGAGTATGTTTTTATTTTCATTGTGTGTTAATTAAAAAATATGAGTGAGAATAAATATGACTGCCAGAAGGCGTTTCTTTTTGTCTGCATATGTGTTGTGTTTTGTTTTTCCTTTGGCATGACGAATGTTTACCTAACTTATTTGAGTGACTCCTCTGGAAGTTTTGCAATCATCCATATAATAAATTTCCATTTGGGGATGTTTTAAAAAGCAGATCATAAGGATTTCACTGGAGGTTAATGAGTCTCTAGATATTTTTTAGAGACAAATTATGACCATGAAACTCTTCAACTGCATTTTTGGCTGCTGCTGCAATCTATTGTCTTAGCATATCTGCTGATTTTTTAACTGTGTATGCATTCACACTTGGACAACGCAGGTGGTCAGTTTAACTTTTGTCCTACAGATGTTATAATTTACTTGTTCCTCACTTACATTTTTCCTCCACAGTACCCAAACTCATGCATACACGTGAAACTTCATGATCACTACTTTTTTCTTCTGCAAATTTCAAAATGGTTTGAGCCAGCAGAGAATAGAACAGTAAGTACAAACTTGGCTCTAGAAGTACAGCAAAATTTTTGCTGCTCTAAAATGTAACAGAGCCTACACCTGCGTTTCTATTAGTTTCCAGAATAATAGTTTTTGGTTTGGAGTTGATGTCAAGAAGTTTGGAGACCTTTCTGCTTAAAATAATAAAAAGACATTAACTCCAATCAATGCCTGTGGCATTCTTGACACTGAGCTGAGTTGACAGGATAAGTGTCACTTCCAGTAGCAATCTGAGAAAATTGAAGTAGGCCAAGTGCTGCACCCACAGAATATGAACCCAAATCCACCACAGTTTTGAGACTTCACAGCTTGGTTCAAGAACTCTGCAACAAATAAACTGGCAGAGAGCTGTGTTTAACCAGCCCTCCCTGAGACAACCACAGGCTGTAAACCTCAAATTGAGTTTTTAGTGGAATCTGAGCTTTTCCAATCCTTCCAGTCTTTTTCTTGTTTCAGCCCTTGCCCAGAAGTGAAAGGGCAATTAAATATTGTATTTAAAAGAAGACTCTGACTTGCAGTCAAACAGAGCTGTTCCTACTCACTACGTAAGCAAGCTGAGCAAGGGGCAGACCCACAGCGAATGGAGTGGCCAAATGGGTGAAAAGATGACTCCTTTGTCCACAAGGAAAGGGATTTTAAGAGATAGAAAGAATTGGGAAATCAGCTGACAAAGGCAAAGACTGAAGGGAAGATTCTCTTTAAGGGAAAGCTTGAGAAAGCAGGATCCTTCTGCATCTGCACCACTGCCTTCCTCCCACATGTTCCCTGCCAAAATGTGGAGGCCAGCACCCCAGAGGAGCATATGGGAAGGAGACAACCGGAGATGGCCTCTGCAGCAACAGACCAACAGGCAGCAGGAAACCAGAAAAACAGAAAACTAAAACCAGCACCTGTTTAAAACTCATCATCTGGAAAAATGCAGGCACTCACTCAGAGGCAAGCAAATGGAAAACACATCTACATCTCCTGAGGCAAGCCACTGAGGTATAAAATTCAAGATGCTCCATTAACTGACCCACAGCCATGAATAACTGTGGGAGACATATTGCCAAAGCTCTTCTCTCCTCTGATATTTATAGGCACTCAGTCACATTTCACTTCCAGCTAATACAGGCAATAAAGAACCACGTTCTACAGCAGTGAACGCCTCACACCCCCGCGTGCCAGGAGGATTGTTCTGGTGATAAACGTCACACGTTTCGGGATGAGGAAGTGAAGGCTGACTTATCTGACTGAAAATGAGGGGGGTGAGTGGGTGACAGAGTGACATGTGCTCCCAGCTTTATGTCAGCTAATTAGAGATTGCCAGACAGGCAGCTCTGTCCACAACATCTCCTTTTATTAATGCCAGTGATTGCACAGGCCTCTCTAGCTCATCTGTATATTTCTGATTTGCTCCTGCTTTGCTGCTCCTGTGCCCACCCCAGCTACTGGGTGTCATTTCAGCGTGCCACAGAGGAACTTGTACCTCAACAGCAGACACTTCCATTCCACGAGATGCCATGAGAATATTTAGTACTAAGTATACTACTGCAACACCTCTCAGTGTTAACTTTCAGGTAGGGAAGGGAAGGGCTTGAATCAGGATTCCCTATTACCAACCCAAACCAGATCACTCTTTTCTAAACACAGAATTAAGTAAATTTGACTTTCCATTTTAATGGGAAAAATTTAAAAAATTAAAAATGAAGTGACAAAAGACTCTCACAAGGCTGCTCTATAGCTTCCAAAGCATGCTATGAACAATCTGTTTACTCCAAAATTGGAGCCCCAATGCCTGTTGCTGGGTCCAGGAAAACTTACTGGTTACAAACATCAAAGGATTGCTTCTGCTACTTGCAACAGCTCTTCCTGACTTCTACTACAAATTAAACTTTTCTTTTAAAGGCTGAAAAGAGAGGAAAACATCCCACCCTAAACCTACTAGTGAAGCTACCTGCCATAGCAAATTAACAACTTTTCTTTCTTTACTTAAATAATAAAATGGAAAAACTTTTTAAAAATTTGAAGATTTTTTTAAAAATCCATTTAAATCACATCTAAGGACAATGAGATCACTGGGAAAAACAATTACATAGAAACAAGATTAATAGGGCAAGAAGTAGATAATAATTAGGCAAGTCAATTTGATTAGACTCATGAGGGTTCATAGTGCTTATTTTAATTTATGAAATGAAGGAATATTCTGGGACAATATGCTACATAGATTTTGGAAGAATGCCTATTATCTTTTTTCATAGCCTATTTTTCAGAGGTAGAGGAAAAAAACCAGATTTTTATCTCTGTGTGAAGAGGCCTCTTTTCCTTCACTTCACCGCCACAAAAGCAGCTTCAAATTCAGCAGTCTTAAAAACAGCCCACTCAAATAAATAAATAAATACACAGCTGTTAGATATGCTACCAAGGTCACAAAAAGAGAGAGGTTTCAGGATGGATTTTTAAAAAAGAGAGAACAGTATGAAAAAACAGCTTATAGCAGTGTGTTAAAAATCTTCTAAAGAAAAGACAGAGTTTGTTTATGAGGTAGAATGACACCTTCCTTTCTCCAGCAAGATAAATAGCAAGGAGCTGATCTTTTACAGCACAAATCTCCCTGTGGTGCAGGATGTGCCAGCTGTGAGCTCTGCCACGGGGCGGGCAGTCTGCGCATGAAGGTTTCACAGGAACATGGACATTTGACTGGAAATGCATGGACACTTCCAGACAAAGTTTTAGGTTATTCCCAGAGGTCCACCACCTCAGGAGGGTTTTGTTTCAAACCTGCTTGCAACAAGAAACAAGGTAATAACTGGAACACTTACCGAAGGAGGAGGTGGGGTCTGGACGGTGTAGGGTGGAGGTGGCGTGTCTGTTATTTCTGGGTCATCATGCTCACTTTCACTGTAGCATTCTGAGGGTAGACATGGAAAATGAGCAAAAATAAAGAGTTAGACCAACATATTAATCTTTGCAGCACTGTGGCAACCAAAGATCACCAAGTAGGGTGTTCTGGATTTAGGACTACACTTTAACAAGTCAGTCTCCTAATATACTTGTAGTAATGCTGGAGAGCTGTTGCAAGTAGCAGAGGCAATCCCTTAATTCTGTAACCAGTAAGTTTTCCTGGAGCTAGCAACAGGCACTGGGGCTTTGGCTGCAATTTTGGAATAAAAAGATTGTTCATATAATGCTTTGGAAACTATAGAGCAGCCTTGTGGGAGCCTTGTGTCACACATGGTGTCTCATATAGACACACCATACAGCATGGCAGTACATATGAAGAAGTAATACCAAAAGTAAACACAGTACTCTAGGAGTACTCTAGGAATACCCTACTTGTCTTTTTCTATTTTTTTTTTTTTTTTGTAACAAACTTGTAGGAGTTTGAACTCATGGACATGTGGCAGAGGCAGTCATCCTGTTATTTCTTTCAACTATCTGTGCAGAAGGTGAAAACATTTTCCACAAATTTGTTTAAAGGTGGATTGAAGAAGTGATAATCATTGATAAAATGATAAAAGACACAGAACAAGGGAGGCAGAATGTTGCTGGTTCTTATCCCCAGGACCTGGCAATAGTAAACATTGGACAAGATCCCCACTGAGCTGGGGGCATGGGAGCTTGCAAAGACAAAGACAAAGTCAGAGCCTGATGAGGACAACTTGAGTGCCAGACCAGAGGCTGCCCCTGTGGTGTCCATGGGATCCAGGGCTGCCCTTTGCTGGCCACAAGCACTCAGCAGCCTGTGCTGTCCAAGAGCTTCTGTCCAGCTCTGCCCCAAGGAGCAGGGGTTGCTTATGTCCAGCTCTGATTCCTCATCAGAGCTCGACTTCAGGAGCTCACACCACTAGAAAGCAGTTTGTTAGCATGGTCTCTGGACAGTCACCTGAAATTATTTCATCTAAAATTAACTCATTTAATAACCACACGCTTTATTTTTCTGCATGTGATTGCCGGGGGAGGGTGAGTGTTAACAAGCACAGAGTGAGGGGAATAAAGTTATAAGAGAGAAGAATTTTGTGCATGAGAGAGAATTTTCTAACATGTTAACAAAGAGAAACTTAAAGGAGTTCAGTATTTTTTCTCCCTGTACTCTTTGCAGAATTGTAGGGTTTCGAATAGCATAGATGCTGTTCTGTTTACTGGAAATATATGCTGGCACATCTAAGCATAAAGAACTGAAACTGGCTGCAATAAGGCCTATACTGAATTCTAAGACTCTACTAATGCCTTTTTGAGTAATTCAGTAACAAGCTATGCTTTCTACAGCTCCCATTTTAGGCACACAGAAGAACTGAAAAAGGCTCAACAGCTGTTTCTGATACTCTTACAGAGTGTCAGAAACAGGGGGCCTGTGTTAAAATGCACAGAAAGTATCTGAATACACAAGAAATGCCATAAAAAGAGCAAATATTCTGAAGAATTGTGTGATGCAGAGAAGAGGAACTGGTCAGCAGGAACAGAAGTGACTGTGGGTAGTGACAGTGTTTTTATGAAACATAGCAATGTTTCTGTAAGGATGTGTCCACCCAGGCACCAGTGGGTGCTGCACCCACACTGAAGGCAGTGGCTGGAGCACCTGTGACAAAACATGCATGAAAAGAAAGGAGGTGTTTGACACTGGCATCAGAAGGCCTTTTCCTGAGGGGAAAACAGGTGGCTATCCTTAAAAGCTGAAGAAATATTGGCTATATTATGCTATTGCAAAGTTATTAGATAACCTCTTGCAGAGATTATTGAGTGGATTTTTTTTTATCTTTTTATCTTTTGGACATTTTTTTTAAATATTAAAACTGGTGGAATAACTCCTTTTTTATTGCTTCATAATTCTTGATTCAACCAATACAACCAGTATCATGTTTTATTGAGGTTTAAAAAAATTGGTTTGTTGTAAAAAATTTGGCCGTTCCCACTTTCCATTGAGCTCTTCCCTTCATGAAAAGATGGACAATATATTTGCAGACTTCATCCCTGAGTACAAGTATCTTGCAGTTCTTGCTATACAACCTAATATTCAATACAGCCCTTTATCCTAAAATGTTTTGATAAAGGTGGCTTCAAACAGGATACAGGCAGGAAGAATTAGATGGTGTGGAAGTTAACAAGTTTCCTGACAAGAAACAAATGTGACCTAAAAACAAAGAAACTGATGAGATTTGCTGAATTCTCCAGAAATCAGCAGCATCAGTGTTTACCAATCCCAAAGCTGCTTTTAATGGTAGACCATAATTGGAGCCAGATCAAATTCTTCAATAATGTAATGACATGTCTCAAGCCTGGACATAAACCACAATCTTGAATTTTGTGGTAAAGCAGAAGGGATGCAGAGAGGAACTTCATTGCTTAGACAAAATAGGCTGCATCACCTCAGTTTCATGCAACTGCAAATACCAGCAGCTTCTTCTTCATAATGACACTTCCTTCACAAGCTCAGCAATTCCAAAAAGAGCGCTGGGTACCAATACTCTAAAAATGGAGACTTAAAAGCCCGGATATTCCTCACATATTCCTCAGGTTACAGTCCATTCCTGGTTTGGTAACATAATATTACCCAGAGCACTTCTCATTCTAAACCAGCCCCTCTGCCCAGATTTGTGATTTGAGTGCTGGTATCCTCCCACCAAAGAGTTATAGTAGGTCGGTGTACAAATTAGGACAATAAATAAATTGTTTAGGAGTTTTAAAGTTTTTCATTCTGTAATGAACTTCGGCTTGGCTCCAAAACAAATTGTAAGCTCCAGAATAGCAGTACCATCCCCTCAACCCCCAACATTGCAATTGTTGAAACCCCTCAGACTGGAGGAGACACAGTAGGGATGGGTCTGCAGAGCACAAGTTATCCCTGGGCCTGCAGCTGCCATGCTGCAGCACAACTCCTGTGATATAACTCACCAGCTCAAAACCCAGAGCAGCACAGCTGTTCCTCTTCACGCTTGGTAGGCTTAGCAGGCCAGCAAACTGCCAGAAAGTAGTTACACACCTCTCCCAAGATCACCTAGTGTCTCTCACTCACGCTGTTTCTCACCATTTTTTCTTTTCCTGTGGTTACTCTGTGTCATGACAATGTGGTTTCTCTGAGCTCAGGCAGTAGGCAGACCCAAGATGGCAGTTCAAAAGAAAGAAAATAGCTGGCAAAAATCAAAAATTTGGCCAAGCAAAAACTGTGAAGAACACAAGGTAGTTACACACTGAAACCAGTTAGGAGCATACCTTCCTCGTTCTTCCTGTTTGGTGCCTGAGGGTCTACGGCCATTCCCAGCTTACTTAGCCACCTGTGTTTGAAACAGAGGGAACACAAGTCAGGGACACTCACATGCTCTTCAGACTGAGTTTTGCTCCTTTCAGTTGTTTTCTACATCACCACATCTGTTTTCATTAGCCTGACAACTAAATGTCAAAGCTTCTATTTCTTAGATAACCTTCTAGAAAGGCACAGTTACCTCTGTTTTAATATTCCCTGTAGTGAACATGATTAGCTGCCTGGGACATTTTTCCTTGATACTGAAAAAAAGTCATCATACTGATGACCCAGGAGTAGCATTTGTGTAAGCTAAAGAAAAAGTCTTTGTGCTGTAACTCCATGTCAGAGAATTAGTCCAGCTGTTGAGGTGTCATCTTTCACCTGAGATGAAGAAACAGGAATGGGAGCCTCAGAAGATGATGTCAGCTGGCCTGGCCAAAATTATCGCAGCACAGTCTGCACCACTTGAAACCAAACTTTTTGATCATAACATATCACATTTTTCAACTTGCTATATACTTTTGGTTTTAGTAAGTCTCACTTCCTGTGTTGGTTTATGCTATAATTGGGTGTTTTTCACTTATCTTCCTAGGTGGCTGCATTCTTCCGGTGCTAGAAACATTCCCTAGTCATACTTTTTGTATATTATGTTTGCCTGTAGGTGATTCAGATCTATCCACATTTTAAGTAACTAACAACTGAAAAGGCTTAAGCTTTTAAGATTAACATTCAAGGTGTATATAAAGAAAGTATGAAGGGCAGGAATTCATTACTGGAAAAAACCCTTTTTTTTTTATTTTGGTTCTACTAAAGCAACAGGGAATTTGCTAGTAAGATCAGCATCAAAGTAACTGCACTTTTAGATTACAGTATGAGCAATGGAGCCACAAACAAATCAGAAAAACAAAGCTTCATTTCTATAAGACTGGTCCATTGATTCTTTTCTGATAGCTAATCCTAACAGAATGATTTTTTAAATGAAAATCAACCTTAACAAGGAAAAGATTTGCTAAAAAAATTCTAGGGCTTCATTAATGATGAGGGCAGACAAGTCACTAATAACTTTGTACAACTGGCCAGCTAAATGCATGCAGCTAGTCAGCATGGCTTCACTTTTCATGTGTGTATGACAATAAAAAATGCACGATAAATTAGTGAAACAAATGACTTTTTTAATAAATCCACTGTTGATTTAATAGAGATATATGTACAGGTATATGCACATGTCGATATATGCGTGAAGAGTTACAAAAGGTCACAATCCATCAAGCATTTCTGCACACCAGGAACTCGACACACACAAATGCTCCAGTGAGTTCAGTGGAACCATTCACACGTGCATTTGCAGGAGTGGAGCCAAGAGAACAGATGTCTTTTAGTCTGTTTCGACATATGCGTGAGTATGCGTGTACTTTATGTATTAAATGCATGTATTTTGTACTTTGCCAAGGAAAACATCATCAGCTGCAGCAGTGGGGGGTTAGTACAGCATAGTGCAGGCTGCTCTAACACTAGGCTACCTATCTTTAAGCCAAAATGAAATTTAATCAAGAAGTGGAATTTGAACAAAATCGTTCCAGGGGCATAAGAGCTGAGACACCTGCTTAGATTTCAATCACTGACTCACAAGAGACTAAGCATTTTTCATATGAGAATTTCCAGCTGGGCTCCAAACTGGCTGTTAGCACTTACTAATGTCCTCCATTAGCTCTAATTTTCCTTCTCCAGACATCCTTCCATCTCTTCTCTCTTAACTAGGGTTACCCTCTCTACTGAAATATTCCTGTCCAGCTGTCCCTCATTCTCAGTCATCCTCATCCAATCTGCCTCAGGATCTTGTCACTCCATTCAGGAACTCTGGTGGGAAGTGCAGGAACAACAAAATGCATGGTTATCTCCCCACCAGAATGCTCTATGCTGCTCCAACTTGCAAAGGGCGACAGATTCTTTTAATCTATATTTACTTGTAGGCATCTGTAGAGTACAGATTTATTAATACATATCTAGGGACATACACTACTGTAATATTGTACATTTCTGTACCTATAGATCTTTCAGAAGGTTACACACATTCTCTCAACCTCTCTCTTTTTCTATTGTGGCAAATATGTATGAGGTCTCTCATTTATAGAGGGAATGAGTAGTCATTGCCCTGTGAAAAATCACACAAAGGTCACCAGTAGAGCCATGATGAAAATCCTGACCCAACTATTGTAGGAGCTCTCTTCCCATTTAAATTGTACTTCTTTGTATCCAGTTAAATTTGTCTATTTAATGCAATAGCACAGAGAACAGACTGCAATCTGAAGTAAAAAAGGCAAAGATATGAGATATATCTAAACTGGCCAAATGTGGATTAGTAGAAAATAATATCTTTCTGATAGCTCAGTGGTTTTTAAAATGGCAGAATTCATATCCATTTTTACTTCTTCCATTATGAACTATTTGGTTGTTAATCTTCTGGACCATTTGTGGAAAGAAAATTTCTGACCTGCCATGAGGATCATTCAACTACAGCACAGTTTGATGCTGAAGTTAATGCTAATTTACATAAAGGAAACAGACCTCTCTATCCCTCTAACCCTCCTTGTTAGCTGATACGATACTCTGAAATCAGAAACTGTTATATTCTAGTCCCAGATCACTTCTGGGACTTTTCCCTCTCTTTCTTTTCTCCCCTCACTTCTTCCCAGGTGCTGTACTTGCTATCAAATCTTAGCTCCACTCTAACAGAAAGGGATTTATACCAGCAAATGCTGGGAAGATTAGCACCAAATTTGGGCTAATTAAGCGATTCTGATTTCAATCATAATTAGTGAACAAAGAGCAGTAGTTTTCTTCCATTTAGTGACCAGAAAAATTAGACTCAGTAATTCCCCAAATAACTTTGTCAACGACTGCTTGACAGTGAAAGAATGAACTTTCAAAGGGTGTTCTCAGGCATGAGACAGGATGAAACACGACCAGTCGCTCCTACTTACGTGTTCATTTCCAGAACATTTTCTGCCGCAAAATAAAATGTCTTGATCTGTGGGTGGCTGATCTTAATAGCACTTTAGGAAAGGAAAAAGATAAGAGATGTGAAGAAAAATAGTTTCCATAAGAAAGAAAAAATAACAGCTGAATGAATTATTTAAAATATTTATTCACTCCACTATATTAATCCAGATTAGTTTGTCCATCAATACAGCTCTTTCTTTAAAACTCTAGTCTATTTTTAGCTCATTTCCTAGGCCACACACTATTCAGAGAATATAAATTACAGGAACTGAGGGAAGGAATAAAGAATAAAACAAAGTCTTCCATTATTTCATTACATAACTTTGCTACCTTCTCATACCTCAAATACTATGTGCAATTTTGCTTCCTCCAGCTCTGAGATGCTAAGCAAACTTGAAAAATGTTGGAAGAAAACACCAGTAGTGACCCAAGACATGGAACAGCTTCCGTGTGCTGTGATCAATCAGTCTAAGACCCCAAAGCATGGAAAACTGATGGCTGAGGGAAGGGACATGTGACACAGTAAAATCACAAGCAGCACACATTTGGTGAACAGTGACTAGCTCTTCTGACTTCTCCATCAGAAGAATGAAGATTTTCTCTTGAGGGACACAATTAAAACCATGCTGTACTTTATAACTTTAAACAACAGCAACACCCCTCCCAACGTTTGAAGTGTACTCAGAAGCAGCTGGAAGTCAGTTCTGCCTATGGAGTTTGGAGAGAATACTTTTAAATGCACCCTGCTAAAGAAAGTATTTATTCCCTGCACAACCAAAGGCCTCAAGTACAGTCCAAGCTCAGTTGCACCACAGCAGCCTAAAGAATAGTCCAGGCTTGGAGGGATGCAGCATTACTTGCACCACTGCTGACCTCCTCAACTAAGAGGGCAATCTGAGAATTACAGTCTACTCATAAACAGCAAATGAAAAAAAAAAAACAGGAAAAGAAAAAGAAAGCATTTGGCACACTCATCTGTTCTTTTTTATTTGTGGTTTTAGCAAAGCACATCTGGTAGAAATTTTTCAAAAAATATTTTTGCAATATGGTTTTCTTTCAGTAGCTCAATTAATATCTCATTATTTATACAACAAAAAAGAACTCCCCACAGTTTCACTGTCAAAGACTACTGAGGCTCATTCCTTGCAATGTTGAAAAAATCATGCAAAACTGGGAACAAGAGATAAACTTACTGCTTTTTTTTGCATTCAATTGCTCGATCCACACTGAAGTCTGGAAGTCTTATAAATCCTTCTGCTTTTTCAGCCTTCCATAAAAGAAAAAAGAAATTAAATATCACCACATCAACCAACTGGTAAACTAGTAGACTCCAATGCTGAATAATATTTAACATGCAAGTGCTTGTTTTTGACAGCTTTTTATACTGTGAAAATATATGCTCATCACCATGGGGACAGATTAACGCCTGATGGAATATTTCTATACCAGCTATATTTGTGCAAATCCGGGGTGCAAGTGCACTCCTGTTGGTGCAAGTGGCAGAGTGCAAGCATAGATTTTGTTGACTAGTAAAGATGTACACGGGTTATATCATCTGTTCAGGTCTGGATGGCACCTACAGTCTCAAAGGTGGGTTTGTGCCATGTACACACAGCATGTGTGTGTCTTACACAAACATGTAACAGCAGCACATAAAATGACCTATGTATAGTTAAAAAATACAGCTCAGAAGTGCCCCAAGATTATTCTAAGTAGAAATGGAGGAGGGTGTCCCCTGTGTAATTGCAGCATGAACCATTTTGCAGGGTCACCTGTACGCAAGCAAGGCAGAGGAAATGCAGGCTGCTCCCATCCCATGCAGCTGAGTTCTGTGGTCAAACACTGCAGACCTGCCTCAGAGGGCTTTGGTCACCCAGCTATCACTACCCCCAGAAATTTGCAGGCATGGTGCAAGAGGTAGCAATATCCAGACAGACATTTACATTTACATTTTCAGTACCCTGTTTATATCCAGTCAGCCCTTTCTGCATGCCAGGAGCTTTACTGAGCATTGACGTCTCTGCTCTCAGTCAGCAGGACTCTGAGTCAGAGCTGAGAACTAAAGTGACAAGCCTCAAATCCCTGTTTGTGCTGCCTGAAACTGAAGCATCTCAGGCAGAAACATCTTCCTTACTACATCCATCTATATACACCTAGTCATCTGCAATGAGGTTAGAAGTCCTCCTAAGATGAGATGAATATATAATGTCAACAAAAGTCTGTAGGACATAATGTCAGGAAAAAATGTACTTTCCAAAACACAGAGTGCTCATTCCTGAATTACATTTTTGCTGCTCACAGCCATTGCTAGTAGACACATTAAAATTCTGAAAATGTACACTGAGTTAAAGCAGATAAAATACACACAACAATTACAAAGACAGAGGATAAATGAAGATGACTGACAGTATCTCAAGTCTCATTATGCATGAATATGATCAGACTATAAAAGATGCTCATCAAGACAAGTCTTTGAGCTTTAATGCTTGGAAGTATGAATCTCCAAGAACTGAAATATTAATACAGAATGGTTACTTCAGTGGGTGGCTTCCCCTCACATCTGCATATCTGTTCTTTGGTATACAATAAATTATGGCCTAACCATCATTCCTGTCATTTACATGTATTAAACATTCATGTGAGAAGTTTGTATTTCATATCACCACCAATAAATGATTTTGCTGTTTCAAGACACAGACACAGCACCACTGGAAGGGGTTTTTCTTATTTTTCTGTCAGTACAGGAGAAAAAAAGATTTTTTTTACATCTGGGCTGGAAAATTTTCATTTTGTAATATTTGTATGGAAAAGTGCTTATTTGCTACTTGGGCTTTTAACACTTTCTGATTGTATTTTTATCTGTAAAACTTGCTTAGTGACTAGCTTGGGGAGTTTTTGTTTCCATTCCACAGGCTGGAATTTCATGAGCTTAAAGTCATTGAGATAAAATGACAACTAACTAAACCTAGCATTACCAAATCCATAGTATATTAAATATATAGGGATGAGCAAATAAATACTGGTGAGAAATGAAGGAGCACTATTCTTGGGCTGGACTGTACTAAAAGTAGAGACTGTATTATCCAGCATTTCTGTTCCAAAAAGAGGATCATTTACTGGATCTGGAACACCAAAATTCCTGTTTAGTTCCCAAAACCAATTTAAAAATACCATGAACCAAACTTAAAAAAGCTGTCCATGAGATACAACAATCACTATGCTACACACTGCTGGATGAGAAATGCATACAATGCCAGTTGCTTCTCTGTAGTAGGAATCCATACTCCCAGTAAAAAGGAAAAAAAGAAAGGAAAAAGAAAAATAAGTCACTAAAAATCTTAAAGGTGTTATTTCAGTCAGCAGATAGAATTCTAAATAAATCCTAGGAATAGAACATCTGGAAGTCATATTTTCAGTCATTCTTAGGATAAAAATGACATTTTAAAACATTTAAAGCATACAGAAATCCTAAGTGCTTTCTTTCTTCCAAAACGTTATCCCTAACATGACTTTAGCATGCTATTATTTAACTCACACGGTTCATTCAAGATTCCTTCAGATTTTGATGTGAAGCTGTAAAATAGCCCTAAAAAACTCAGATACAAAGAATCTTAACCTATTCTCTACTTAATCAGTATGTTTAAAAGAATAAGCTGTCATCTCTTTCAGGTTTTATCGAGGTTAGACTAACATAAATCTCTGCTTTTGCTATTCCAAGTTGTAGAAAAATAATTTCACTAGTAATAACAGTCTCTGCAAAATCTTGTGGCAAAAAATAAAGTAGCCATTTTTTCACAGGAAAAGCTTTGCACTCAAAAAAACCCCAGAAATTATTTATGAAACACAATGCATGAATCCAATGAAAGAGGCTAATGTCCTTTTGAGCTTGCCTCAATATGTTACTTAAATGTGGCTTTAGGAGATTAAGTAAGTCATTTAAAGGGAGTGTAATTTTGCAGCAAGATTTTAAAACATAGTGCTAGAAAATGAAATATCTTGTTATTGTGGAAGAGCTCCAATCTGCAAAACAGGGTAGTCCTCATGGCTTCATCAGTGTTTCAGCACTGCCCCCAGAAGACACTATGGATGTTGGAGGAGCAGTTCAGCATTTTAGTCTTTTTTTCTCTCTGCCAAGTACACCAATGAGGCATCCTATAGAACTGTGAATAATTTGTCTAAGTTATTAGGCCACAGGTCCCCAAGCCTCTCAGCTCAATCAGCTGACATCAATGACTTTTTCTCATCCACATAAGCAGCTATTAAAACTCAAAGGTAAAAGATTTTTCTTTTAAAAGGCCATAATTATATAGCTTCCAGCAAAGCTGTTGGAGTGAGTACCAATTCAGATGCGTGAATTAAGGAAAAAAAAAGTACAAAGATAAATAGTGACAGTAGATCACAGCCTGCATCTCTCTAATTTTATATTTATATTTCTTTTCAGCTGTATCCCCATGACAACCACCATTAAGACATTCCACAAAAATCTATTTCAACTCTATTTGGAAAACCAGTCAAGTTACCCTAAAGACCCACCAGACAGAGGCATTTAGTCCTTTGTCCCATTCCAGCCAACACTATCCAACACAGTCGAAACAAGCACAGAGAGCCAGGAGCCTGGGATTCCATGTGACAATCCTCCCCCACCACCCCTTTTCCTATGTAGGAGTACTGATTCCCTCTGGGGTTTCAGTATGAGAATTGAAACAGCTAAAGGGTCAGGCAGGATCACAAACTGTACTACTTAAACACTTGTCTTCAAGGCAGCTGCCTACAGAGAGCAGTACTAAAAACAAAAAAAAATACATAAACGAACACTAATGAAGAGCGGTTGTCCAAGGAGTTTGATGTTCTTGAATGCACCCAGAAATTCTGACTGCCCAGATATATTTTCTGACATGTCCTGTGTTTTCATTGCAAAACCAGCCCTTCCGTGCTTCCTCCTAGTCCAAGCAGCTTCCCCTCCCCAGACTGGGAGTGCTTCCGTGCTGCAAAGAGAAGTTTACTTGTCTCACATTTTATAGAAAGAAGAAGGTTGTCTGGGAAGAGGTTCCAGGGCAGCCTACCAAAGCCTGCTGAGACCACTGGGCCCTGACCTCAGCTAGCTCATTGAAAATTTATTCAGATTTGCTTGTGTTCTCTGGCTTTCTTTCAGTGAAGGAGAAGCTTGACTCTTAGGGTGTCTGATCTGCTATTGATCATGCTTTTTTTTTTTTTTTCTCTTTTGAGCTGTGGCATTCACAAAATATTTTACATTAAATTGAAGGAAATATCAGCTGAAAATTGTCACAACAATTGTCCTATGTAATGTATCCAAATCTGCCTCTCATGAGGGACCCAGAACCAGAGTGGCTTGAAGAAAAATTAAGCTAGAGTGACAGATATATCCAGAGCTTCAGAGGCACATGAAGACAAACTTGACCAAGAAGATGATATGCAGATGAGGTTATCTCCCCAAATCCAGGATTATGCACGTTCCCATACAAATTCCACCCACTCTCAATTTTCTCCATCTCCATTAGAAAAAAGGTCCAGCACCCTGTTGCTATGCTACAGTTGCCAGTGTCTGCTTTTCACACAGCCACAAACAAACCAAGCTCATTTCTCAGCAGAGCCAAGCTGGTCAAGCAGAGCTACAGGCAACCAGTGTGCCCCAGTCCCTTTGACATCAGCCCCACTCTTTCATCACCACTTTTGACATCAGCCCCTGTAAAAGGGCCCATCACAGGAAGCCTCAGGCACGTGAGGAGCAGGACTCCTGTTTCAACAGAACTTGAGACTGTCACATTGTACAGCCCCTTGGGACCAAGGATTAACTTTACTGAAGACAGTGGAAGTGCAGGCAGTCCTAATGCCAGAGACTTGTCAAGCAAGCAAGCGCATGTGTCACTGCTATTTCTCTTTCAACAATCTAGAAGCGAGAATATCTGGCTCTACATGATCCCACATACAACTCAAGAGTTTAAGAGAGCAGGCCTCAGCAAAGAACACCTCTCCTCCTTTCCAAACCCCACAGTTACTGACATTCTGCAAATACTGGTTGAACCTACAGTTACATAGGGGCTGCACTTTAAGCTGCCCAAAGAAACCTTGAATTTTTACCATAAAATAGTGTGTGAGAGTTGGCAGAAGTTGAAAGCAAAGAGGTGCTACTGGCTAGCATGCTTAAAGCACAGCTGTGATAGGTGAGAACTCAGGGTTGACACAAGACAACAGTATTTTGAAGCCACATTAGCTCTTCAGAGGAAATGAAATAAACTGGAATGAGGCTGACTCTTATTTTTCAGCCTTGTTCTTTTGGGGGCAGTCAGTGACAGTCAGGAAATAGGCATGGACTAAAAGGCTAAGTGCTGTCTAGGAGCACAGGAACCAGCATGATCATGGTTTTTCTGGATCTCAGGAGTGGAATTTAAGCAGGCCAGAACAACTGAAGGAAGTGGAGGAATTTGCACCTCTCCCCCATCACTCTTCTCTTCCCAGAGGCAAATTTTTCCTAGTCTTGCCTTTTTTATTTCCTCTCATCTTGATTACTCCTTAGAATTATTCCTTTCAGATATTTTCTGTGTCTAAAAGGTCATGTCAGCCAGCAGGCTGACCTTTCTTAAAACTTAAAGCTTGGCCAGAAGTACAACTGCAAACAGATTTATAAAAGCCAATAAGGTTTTGCAAGGTATTAATGCTGCTTATTGGTATTACTGCCTCCCCATGTCTTTCAAGTAGAGATATTGTAAGCATAAGGAAAAAAGTGCCTTTTCAAAACTTTTTTCCCCAATATTTCTATTTATTTTCTTTCTATTATGCACTTATTTGACATAGTCTTGAAAGGAATCCATATCAGACTACTACCACATCATAAAAAACAACAGCCCAAGACTAGCAGAGTTGCTTTCCTTTACCCCAAGAAGAAATAGTTAATATCATCTTGAAGTACCAGTCAAAGTTTTTATTTGGATTTTAAAAAAGCAAACAGAAAAAATATCTCACACACACACAAGCAAAAACACGCCCCACAAAAAATGCTAGCACTATACTCACAACTGAAGGGAGAATGTGAATTAGTCTACACGAGTAAAGCTTTGTTTAGGGTATGAGGAGTTTTTTAAATGACTTAAACTATTGTATTTTTTTCCCTGAAACAGCTAGCAAAAATTTTGATGGGGATTGCTGCAGTGTAAATAAACAAGTGAAAATCATTCAGATTGCCTTTGATATTTTTTAAAACGCTCTAAGAATTAATAAGGGTTCCTTTAATCTTTCATTCTTTGCTGTGCCTGTGACATGCTGATTTCCAGAGCAGCTGTGTTGCATTTAAGGAACCTCATGCCCATCCACAATTCAACACTGAAACTGCTGAGTTTCAAACTATGTTTTTGCTGGCATACCCTAATGCTCTTCAGACCCTAATTCTTAGATCTGTCACCCCATCATTTGAATGTGATAAGAGTTTTTTAAAGGTAGCAGTGCCAGACAGCAAAGTGAAGGGAATAACTGTATCTGAATCTTCCTAGGATGGGCAAAACACCCTCTCTGCCCAATCAAACAAGCCCAGAGTAAAGCCAGCTGCCCTCTACTATTTGAAAAGAGAAAAAAAAAGAAAAAATAAAAAGGAGGCCAAATAAATTTAAATAGGAAGAAAAATAGAAGAAAAAAGATAAATAAACTAAGAAGACAAATGGAATAATCTCAGTGTGGAAGGGGATGGAAAGAGAGATAGGAGAGACATTTCTGAAAATTAAATTAATGGGAAGTGAAGAAACATTCCTGTTTTGAGTTTTTTTGCAATTTGTCTATATCCAGGAAAAGATTTCTCAAATTCAAATGCCACCAGAGCCCTTAAAGAAGAGCTCTTTACATGGCGAAACAGACAGCAAGTTAACATTTCACAAGTACCTGCTGAACTAGAAAACACATAGTTTTCTGCATATTTCAAATTCATATAGACACTTCCCAGATCACAAGAAGTGCCAGGGCTGTGAAATAAACCCAGTTATTTGTACTCCTCCAGGGTGCACCTAAATTGTGACCCCAGGTTCCCTTCTGTCAGTCCCAGCAGAAGCTGTTTGTCTGGCAGCCGGAGCTGCCTATACACTGTACTCACCAGCTGACTGCTGTACCAATACAGCGATGACTCCTTTAGCACACACCAGAACTTTTTCCATTTGTTGCCAATGAAAGCTCCTTTTTCCTTCTTTTTGTAGAGCCATCCTTGGCAATCGGCTTGCCCCAGCTCTTTGCACGATATCCTCCGTCGGCTCATTATAAAGAACCCTGTACCATTAAAAATACAGTGTTGTGCTTGTTTAAAACTGCATTACCAGGAAAGATGTTGCTGCTAATTAAGGATATCATCCTTACTTAGGAACCTCAGCAAGTCATCCAAGCATGTCTTAAAATATACTTAGAAGTAATTCAGTTTTATAATGGCTGTGACAGTAACACACATTCATTTGAAAGGCTTGCTGATGTTCAGAAATTAAACAGTAAGCTATAGATAATGCAGATACTAATTAATGCTAAGATAACCATACACGAGTTTTTGTAAATTAAAAATACAGCCTTTGATCCTTTTAAGAGAAGCATGCATATATTTTCTCTCACACAGCTGCACTGAAAATGATACATCTATTTAAGTCAGCTAGAGAAAACTATTATGCCAAATACATGAAAACCACTAGTGTGTACGTCTGTGCAGGCAGCTGATTCTACCTCACTGATTTCCAGCTTTGATTCAATTAACCTACCACAAGGATTTAGTCCAAAGGAACAGCCCGTTGTCATTTTTCTCAGAATCGGTGTAAGAATCAGTGGAGTTAAAAAGCAGCTTTTCACCAGATGAGTAGCAGTACAAAATCCTCACCCTCCCAAGAATAAGACATACCAAGAAAATAACAAAAGAGGAATCCAGGAGAGGAAAAGAAAAAATAATCTCTCATTACCTTGACTTTTCTTTTTTGCCTTCTGACGCAAAGGAACCTGTAAGAAATGCAGGAAGGAAAGAAAAGAGGAAATTTCAGATTGTGTTGCAACATTTGTGTAGAAAGGGGAGGGGGGAGCTAGAAAAGGACGTGGTGGTGATGCTGGTGGTATATGCAGGATGGAAACACATAACCCACTCGCTGCTGAAGGGACGTTAGCAGCTGAAGCAAAAAACGTGTTAATTAAAATTGATGTATATCTAGTTGAGCAAGAGCAAACACAACCCTATTACACGTGTCTATCTACTCCTGCTTCCTGTTTCACATCCACAGACAGCTTCTACTTTGCTGTGTTTGCCCAAATTGTATTCTGTGGTTTGTAGTTAAAAAATAGAAGTTAAAACTCCAGCATTTTAAGGCTTCATTAGGCTCCATAAGGAGGATTTACAAACATGGGGAGATTAAAATACATGCCAGATGACTGATAGTCATTTAGCTCATTCTAAGAAATACTGAAAAAGAAAAAAAAATTGATCTTCGCCTTTGCCTCTTTTTATTTAATGCAGAACATTTTTTTTCCTTATTAAATAGTTTCATAATATTTCTTAAGGAAAAAAAAATCACACAAAATGTATGGAAATTTTAGTCACTGCAAAAATAACACAATTGAATTTATTTACACATTTGCAGTCTACATATTTAATCCTGCAAAAACACATAGAAAATGAAACTAAAACAGAAGACCACAGAACAAAAAAGGAGGTAATTGAAAATGGAAGCTATGGCTTTTAGAGTAAATTCTCCCCAGACTGGTTTTGTGATTGTGGACAAAGTACTTGACTTCTCTTTGCCTCAACCTTTCCTTCTCTAGTGTGGGAACTAAAGCATTCACTTTTTTCTATTTTTAGGAAGGGTTTGAAGCCCCCAGATGACAAATGCAGCATAAAGTGACATATGATTTAATATGCTGGCCACAATGCTGCTATGCAAAGCCGCTAGCTACCTGATGCGCTGCAGAGCTACGCTCTGAACATCCCTAATGTAGCCCCTCCGCCTTGCCAGACAGCTCCTCAGGAAAACAAAACCCCATTTCATATCCCTCTTGAAAAATTTGATGGCCCTTCTCACAGGCAAATTAAAGATGAGTAAAGCTAGACCATCTGCAGGTTGATAGAAGAGCCCACTGTCACCAGTATTTACAAGAGCTACAACTTTGTGAAGCGGGGATCTCTGCAGAGTGTGACACAGAGCACAGAGCTGTGCCTCGCAGTCCTGTGCTTATCCTGTTTGACATGACCTGAACAACACTCTTGTGGGAGGCTTTACCAGGCATGAATAATCCCAGACTCCTGCCTAATCACTGAGTATTCTTTTTCTTTCCTTTTTCCCTTATTGTTTTATTTTTTAATACTACCATTGCCTCTCTCTCTCAGACTATTCTCCATGACAACACACAAAGAAAAGCAATAAGAAAACACATCAGCTCTATTAGAGACTCTGCTATTTCCCCATCTTTTTCATGTCTTCATTCCAAAGAAACTTACGCCCTATTTAGGACACATGGAAATAATGTATGGCCTCAAGGAATCAATGGATCACACAAACTAATTGCTTTCCTTCAGAGCTATCCAAAATGATATTAAGGAAAGCAAGTATGGATCAGGTCTGCTGGCCCAAAAACTATGTAGTAAAGAAACACCACATCTTTGCCATGGCACTATATTGGGGTTGTTCAATCTCTAACCAATATAAAGTCATTAAAAAAAAGAGCAATACTGAGGCAGGATGTGGCTCTCTCTACACAACTGAGGAGGAAGCAATCTTTCCACTAACCTTGTTGATGATCTAAAAAAAAAATAGCATGGTCTCTTGCTCATGTGTCAGGAAAGAGTCAGTACCCACGTTATGTAAGACATCTGTTGGGCCCACTTTATATCAGACTGAAGCAAAAACTGATCACCTAATGAGAGCTTGGGCTAGCTAAAATAATTTACAAATTTATGTGTATTATTCTGTAGCAATGATGGTATCCTGCTGCAAGGTGATAGGGGTGATCAACCAACCCTCTTTTTCTTCCTATATTGTGGGAGGAGTTGGGAAATTAATGGTGGAAGGAAGAGCAGTTTCTCTACAGCCAGACCTGTATTTAGTCTGCCTGGATAAAATCAGTGGTAAATCTCTAACAAAATAACTGATGAATTATTTTCTTAAATTAAGATACATTTCTCATTGTCTTTCTAAGTATTCCTGAAAATTGAGGTAAATTTTCAACAAATTAGCACTAAGCCTGGAATTCTGCAACTTCCAATTGTGTTTTAGCACTATTCAGAAACTCAGCTTCATTCTATTAAAAAAAATGTGTTCTGCTCCACACAAGAGAAATCTTTTATCCCCAAATGCAGCAATAAAATGCAGCATGATTCACAAAATTGCCTTCTCAAATTTTGTTATCTATAAACAAATAAAAACAACCTCTTTCTCCAAAGCACAGTGTTTGGAGTCAGATAGATACACAAACAGTTTTCAGTAAAACTGTTTTCGTCTCAAACCAATAGAAAACTTTTATTTAAATGAATCTAACACAAAATTCATAAAATGTCTCACCAGCACAGTTTGGATTCAATTTTCCATGAAAATACAACACATTAGCAAGTCTCCAGTGGCAAAATTTTTTTCAAAAAGTGAATTAAAGTTTCCTTCACTGAAAACTCTTTTATAAAAAAGTCAATAATCTTTTATATCAGTGGACCTGGGTGAACATTGATTAAAAGATACTTTTAAGTTTCACTCTTCTACAGATTCTTACCAGCACAGAGCAAAGAGAAAACTGTGGAAGGCAGAGTTGTTACCAATTAAACAAGGCCTACAAGAGGAGTTTCAGATGTGAATATTCTGTAACTAGCAAACATAGCCACTGAATAATCTGAAACTAAACCAAAAGTCATGATTTTGCTTTTAACAATGCTGGATATTTTTCTATAATTTTAAATTTCCTAATGGGAAGTGATTTATTTCATTATCACAGGTCCAACTGAAAAGCTAAGAACATCAGATATATTTCTATTTCTTCTTACCAAGGGAAATCTGAGAGCAGTAGTTCTCAGAAAGCTCTGGGATAACTGCAAAACATACACTTTTGTGCAAGGCTGGTAATAGAGAGTAGGTTTAAATTATTTTGGTAGTCTTTGGTTTGGTAAGGACTGAACAGGATGGGCTAGTGATCCTGCAGAACTGCACAGACTTCAAACTTGTTATCCATTACTCCTGCACTTGGCAAACACACCACAAGTGAGTTGCAAAGGAACCTGCACAACTGTGCATAGTTCATTTCCACTTCTGTGCCAGGCAGGTTCCAGCAATGAGCAAAAACGTGTGAGAGAAGTGGCAACTGTAGCAGAGGCTTCTGTCAGTCCATGTGTCCTTTTTTTCCACAGAATCACAGTATGATTAAGATTGAAGGAACTTCAGGAGGTCATCTAAGTCCACTCCCCACCTGCAACTGGTTTTCCAGGACTGTTTCTAGCTGGCTTTTGCATTTCACTGAGCATGGAGACACCCCAGCCTCTCTGGGCAACCTGTGACAGTGCCCAGTCATCCTCACAGTAAAAAAGGTTTCCTGATGTTCACAGGGAACCTCCTGTGTTTTGGTTTGTGTGCATCATTTCTTGTGTGCACCACTTTCAGTGGTGTCACTGGGCACCACTGAAAAGAATCACAGAATCATTAAGGTTGAAAAAGACCTTCAAAGCCATCAAGTCCAACCATCAACTTAGCACCACCACCATGTTGGCCACTAAATCATGTCCTCTTCTTTGGATCCTCCCTTCAGGTATTTATGCACATGGGTAAGAGGCCCCCTGAGCCTGTTTTCCAACCTAAACAGACCCAGTTCACTTAATCTTTCCTCATATCTTTGATGCTACAGTCCCTTAATTATTCTTCTGGCTTTCATTGGGCCTCTTCAGTATATCATGTGTCTCTTATATTGAGAAGTCATTCCTGTGGTGGCCTCAGCAGCACTGAATAAATTACGACCTCCCTTGACCTGATGGCAATATTTTGTCTGATGTAGCCAAAGACACCACTCACCTTCTTTGCAGCATGGGCACATTGTTGGTTCATGATGTCCACCAAGATTCCCAAGCCATTCTCTGCAAAGCTACTTTCCAGCTCTATGGCCCTCAGCACATACTGGCTTCCCCTAGCAGTACCTTTTGTGCTCAAATGGAATAACAACAGGGCATAGAAGTCAGAGGGCTGCACAGGCTTTGGCAGTCTCTGGACAACATCCTGGATCCTGGCCCCTCCCAGGCAGCAAACATCTCTGGATGGTTGGTCAGGCCTACAGATGGGTCCTTTGTCCCTTGCAGCAGGGAGTCACACACTGCAGGGTCTCACCTCTTCTTCCTGGCAGACCTGCGTGGTTTGCAGTCAAGTGAACCACATCCTTTGGTGATAGGGGTGTCCTTTGCTATGGGACACATCTGGCTCTTCAGTTATGAGGGCAGTCAACCTGTTCTTAGATGAGGCAGGAGCTTCCTCTTGATACAAGTCATCAACTTCCATCCTTCCAATTCTCCAGAGGTTTTTCTTACTTTGATAGAGGGCATAGACACTGCCTGCTTCTCCATTGCAGGTGGGGACTGGTGGTCTTCACATTGCTGTGTCTCAGAGAAAACTCTATCTCTCTCCCTTCCACTTTCTCTGATGCTGCACAGTTTGCACACTTGCTCTGGATCCTCCTCCACTTCCCAGCACAGCTCCTCCAAGATGGCCTGCGGGGCTGAGAGACATCACCCTCGGCCTCAGGGAGAGGCTCCTGAAACCTCCTGAAGTCTGGGACTTGGAGAGCTGCAGCCACTCCGTGTGGAAGCCTCTGTCTTAGCAGGGACAGCTGTTCCTACACCTTCTGAGGAAAGTGCCCTGTTACCACCATGTCTAAGACTGCTACAGCCCCACAGTTTGAATGGAGGCCCCCTTATTTCACTCCTTCTTCACACCCAGCTGCACAAACTGGTGGCTCTGTTGGCTGCTCTCAGGGCAGATCCCTCCCAAGCACCAGACCCTTGACCCTTCCTAGTCAGAGGGAGCTGCATCAAAGGCTCCAGGAGCCCTGGGTCAGGGGTAGCCTGCAAACTCCCCAGGAATAAAAATGGGGTGAAATAGGTATACGAGGCTGTTTTAGGGGAAAGAAAAAAAAAGTCTACATGGAAAAGCAGGGGCATTGGGCCACTACTAAAAAACAGACTTCATGTCTCATTAAGTTTGACTCACAACACATGAGTCTGAGAAGGCACCAAAGGCAGCTATGATCAACAGATATATTCTACAGAGCTGTACTTTCTTTAAGCTTTCCTTGGACTGTGTGGCTAAGGAGATCCTTTGCTGAGCTCATGTATCTTAGGTTACAGTTATCTCACCCATTGAGGGGTAGGATTTGGAAGTGAGGGCACCCCTAGCATCAGGCACATGCAGTAGATTTCAGTTTATCCTTATAGCAGAACTGGGGCAACCTCTCTGCTTGGGCTAGCCCATTAGAAAGATCCTGTTAGGATATTGATGCTGTTGTGCATCTTTTATGCTGTTCATGGTCTTTGTGACTACAAGATATAATGCCAACATGTGACCTCTTCAGATGATCTGTCATAGCTTCAAGTATACTTACAAGAATATTGCCATCAGTTTCCATGAATGGTTTCAAAGCCCAATGGAAAAGCTGTTAAAAGAGAAAATTTTGTGTACTTAAGCTCTGTATTATATTCTCATATATAACATGTCTTGTCAGTAGAGTAAAAAAAATGCTTTCAAACATTTTGTCTTTCTAAATCTACCCTCTGACTTCTCCCAACCCCTAAAAAAAATTTTCCAAAGACAATCCTATGTTATATAAACTGATTTTACTGATTTAGAACAAGCAGTAAGTAACATTAACTCAAAAGTATCCAAGCTTATTTTTATGAAATAAACAGAACAAAGCTCATGGATTTGGCCAGAGGGTTGCTTTTGGCTTGGTTGTGATAGGTTTTGGGTGGGAATGGAGGTTTTTGGGGTTTTAAGAGGAAATGCAAGAGAGAGAATAAATAAATAAAATTGGGAGTGATTTTATTTGGTTCATTTTGGTCTTTAGTCTGAAAGAAATCTATAAGACTTGGATTCCTGTTTTGGTTAAGTAATTCCCAGCATTTTCTGGGAATAAAAATTGAGTAACCTTCTGGTTCTCCTGAATGGGATGAGACCTCATACTGGAGTACTCATTTTACAATGAGTTGAAATTTTCCTTTCTGGAGACCAAAATCTGTGCAGTCCAACAGCAGACACTGGATTCTATTTTCCAAAGACACCAGGTTAGTAGGTATCCATTTAGGTGGCAGATGAGGTAATTTCACTGGGTTAACACAAGCACTTGTCAGTTTCCTGTGTGATTTTCCTTCGGTTGGTAGAATGGGTAGATGATGAATTGGAGCAGTACAAGATGAATGAAAACATACCAGTGTTTTGGTGCCAGAAAAGTTCCCATAAAACTCACCCCTCTGCTTGTGAAAGAATCATGGAGGAAAATGGGAGAGGATACAAAACTCTGCTGAAGCAAGCAAGAAGGGATTTCCAGAAATAGAGCCACACTTCAGAGGAATTTCTAACAAGAACATTTTCCTGTTACTAGAACCAGTTATTTAAGATATGTGCCACTCCTCATACATAATATTTGTCTTGGTTTGAAAATAAAATCTTAAAAAAGAAAATAAAAACCCACCTACTGGCTTCCAGCAATTTCAAATCAAAAATAGAAAGGCAAACAAATACATCTTTTTCTGGCTGCCAGCCGTTTCTGTTCAAAAGTAGAAAGAAGCACTTTCTATAAGTAGCTCAAGTTGAAGTAATATCATGATGAGGACAGATGTTATGGCCAATAATTTCAAGGATGTTTAGAAATCATAGCTAGTACAAACAAGCAGAGGAAACACCTTGAGTTATACAAGTAAATTAACATTGAGCCTCAAATACAGAGCAAGAAAGAAAGGGAATAACAGACCATATCACAGTAATTATTGTGACATGGCCTTTTTCCTGTCATTCCTTAATTTCATGTGTGCCTAGGGTTTGTGGAGGAACTGCACATAGTCTGAATCACACAGTACCAGGAGCAAGGGGAGGAGCATTAGTTAACTGGCAAGGCAATGTTTCCTCCTGTGTGCTTTGTGCCAAAGGACTTGAAATGGATTTCAGCTAACCCTTCTCTGTGACTTTAACTCAGACATTTGTTTAGTTTCCAGAACTGGACAAGCAGTTTTGAGCCAGCATCCAGTGTTCAAAAGCAACATTGACTTCTGTCCCATTCTAATTAAAGGATATAATTTATTTTTATATACTTAAAAAATCACACAGTCACTGCAGAAATAACTCTTAGACACTTAACCTGAGTTTGTTTCTCCTAAGAAAGCCCAACCTGAGTGAGATTAGTTACTCTGTGAAAAGGCATTAGGATTCTTTATATCCACTCAAGCGTACTCAACTGTTTCAAAACTAACACTGCAGAAGGGCATAACCTGCTTATCTCTGCCCTAGAGCAAAATAAGTGATTCTTTTCAATGTTGTGCAGATTTACTGTGGGAAAACTATCCTTTCTAAACAGTCAGGTGAATTACAGCCTGAGCTGGATAAATGTGGCACCTCAAATAGAGCCAATCCACCTTACTGGATGGTCCAGCACGACTCTGCAGGGGCTGTCTCTGGGAACCACAGCCCCTGGCCCCCAGTAAACCCCTCACACAGGCTGCAGCTGGGATCTCATGATGGGCAGTGCCCTCACTTTTCCCTCTGTGTGCTCGTAGTGGTCACACCATGGCAGCCCAGGGATGTGCTCAGGGCTGGTAGCTTGGCCAACAGAAAAACTTCTGGGGCCACAAAAGTGACACCTGAGCTCAGGAGCTTTGCAAGTGAGAGGTCAGTGAGAGACAAGCCTTCATCATCAGGAAGGGCTCCTGACTCCTCGCTGGAGTAGCTGCAGCAGGAGAAGATGGCTCATTTCACAGCACTAACATCCTGAAGACCTGTGTGCATCCTTGTCCTGAATGGAACGAAATTGGAAGTGGGATGTCACCCTGAAAGGTGTGTGTGGGATTCTAGCCCTCTTCCCAAAACTCTCCACTTGCAACAAGATAAATTCTAGGAACAGAAGGAGAGGAAAACCCTCCAGCCTACGGATTAAGGTACCCACATGGAAGATTTGTAACAGGATTGCAGTCTGCTGTAATGGATGCTTAATTTGCTAAAATTAAAATGTGGAACAAATCAAAAAGAGAAAATTAAACATGGTAAATGCTCTCCCACTTCAGATGGTTTCAGAAACAGTAAAGCAAACTTAAATCTCTCATTTTCTGGAGGGTAAACGGCAATGGATGTACTCAATAAAAGCAAAGGGGATAGATTCATATTATCAGTTTGTAAACCATGACTATATTTCTTTGGCTTTTCTGGGAGTTATCTGAACCACCTGATTTTATTTCAGTCTGAATTGAATACAATGTCAAATGTGGTTTCAGTTAAAAGATCTCCAAATCAAGTTCTTGAGGGCTTTTTAAATTTTGGTTGAACAACTGAACATTAAGTATCTGTGTGCATAGTTTTATTAGTCTCACTTCATCCTTGCTTTTTCAAGAAGAGTAATAAACAAGTAGGTATGTGAGCAATAAGCTGATGCAACAAACATGGAAACATCAGAAATATCTTGCAATAATAGATAGAGGTAGTCTATTTGACTCATCATGTCTCCTAAAATATATAGAAAAATCCATAAAGACCAAATTTAATTTAAAAGGGTGGGAAAAAGGAAAAAAAAAAAAAAAAAAAAAAAAAAAAAAAGAGAACACTGAGGTTCCAATGACTCTAATTGCAAAAATCAATCTTAATTCATTAGTAATATTCCTCTTGGGAAAATCAAAATCCACAAGGCCTTATGCTGTCTCTTGCCAATTACAAGCTACAGTGAGTATGTCAATCTGCAATGATCAGGGCATAAGCCTGCCAGACATGCCTTCCAGGCATCTCTCAGATGACATTCAGAGTGGACATATGCCTTCCTGCTTCTGAGCAAAATATTTGATATATGCAACA